CCAAGAGTCAACAATGTATGAATGTTTCTGGAGATAACCACCAGGGGGTAAATACAACTGAGCATGCGCAGTTCTCAAGGAAGGCAATGAGACATTTCTATTCTGGCCTTGTTGTGATCATATAATAACAACAACAAAACCAGTTCTTGCTTGCTAGAGTCCGCTGGACGTTTGATAATCCTAGTAACATGGGCATCCGTTTAGATCCCATTTATAAAATTAAAAGGCACAGCAGTTAACAGCGTATATTAACATCATGTTTAACTTTCATTCCAAACGTCTCTTATTTGTCAATTAATGCAGAGAGGGTTTAAAGTTAACAGGTATGCTAAAACTGTTGTACAAAACGCGTCTACAGAATTCTGAAATGCAGAGAAATTAGTGATCTGCCACTTGGATTTTGAGTAAACATTCTGTGACATGAATGTGCACTTCGAGACAGATCTACAAGGCAAATTGCGCGAATTAGCGTTTCTTTGAATCTTGAATAAAATATCTTTAACTTATATGTAACAAGCCGGAAAGAAAACGTCTTGCATCCGCTAAAGATAACTGGGGTCTGGTGAATAACGGCTTCCTGTTCTTCATTTTCTTGTCAAAATCGGTTGACCTTAAATTATTGAATCATATTTTATTATTTTGTATTAAATTACTAAATTGACTCAGTGAAGCCGAGTCCTAAAGTAGCTAAATGAACGTCATTCGGCCAAATTTCTCTACGTATTGAAACTCAAAGGTTCACAGAAGTTCTTCTTAGGCCCGTTTTGAGTCAAAATTTAGTCTACAACCCCTCACCAAACAACTACAAGATCTCTTTTAATATTCTTTTCCCATCTCCAAGTGATCCCGTCCCTTTGAGTTTTCCAAGCAAAACTTTGTGCGTATTTCATATCCCTCCCATGAATGTTACATGACCCATCTACATCGATTTTCTTTATTTAATCATTTTAATTACTTATATCTAATGGATATAGGCCTGATACTTAGTTTCAAATGGGCCAATTTTCTTCAGTGTCATGTTCTGAGACAATCTCGGTCTATGTTCTTCAAGTAACGCCTCCATACGAAACGGCTTGTACCGGTAATGCATATTGTAATCTTTATGTTATTAGATATTTATGGACTGTGAACTGAAGACAAGCAAGTGTTCCCCAAATTTAATTTTTGTGAACTGAACACAAGCAAGTGTTCCCCAAATTTAATTTTCTATTTCTCTGTCAGTTTATTCTTGTCATTCGCAAATATATTAACTTAGTTCCACCTTCGAAGATTTATTACCTGTGTTTGCAGGCCTATAAAAATCTTTGTTTCAGGAGACGAGACAGACACATCTGTAGTTATCTCTGCTTAATGGAGATCAGGGAAATTAATGTCAGTTAAGATAAATTTGAAATATAACAAATACTACAAGTCTTGTTGCAATCATTGATTTAATAACTAATAGTTGAGAGTTTATACTAAAGATAAATACACTGTTTTTGTTAATAAAAATAACAGTTCATAACGCACAGACATAATTAGAAATGACAGCACTGACCACTATTACCCCACATATGGGGGATTATATCGAGATGCACTACTCATTACAGAACAAATAAAGAATAGATTTTATTTATTCACAATTCAATTGGACTTATTAATTATGATGAATTCAATTAGAACATTGTATGAAATTGCTCTTCTGAATCAGCTTTCTTTAAAGTGTCTTACTGCAATTATAGGCTGATAAAAAAGATGAAACTACAAACACAATAAATATTCATGTTTTATTAAATTTTCACGAAATTCTAACTTTATATCCAATCTACGGGTTCGTTTGCTACCGTCACCTCAACAGTTTGCTACGAAATGCAATTCCGAGCAACTTCAGTTCATTTAAATATCATTAATATACGGGCTGGACAACCGTGGTTTCGTTTTCCAACATGGTAAGACTTTTCTCTTCGTTACAACGTCCAGACTGGCCCTGTCTCCTCTTCAATAAGTACCAGTTTTCAATCTTGAAGAGGCTGAAGGTAACCACTCATCTACATTTAGTGCCGATATTATGAATGTGTGGAGCTACGCCTGTCTGTATGGCGTGGTGCTTAATTAAATACTAGAGATAATTTTATCTCGCCATGGGCTCCCAGGAGTTAATATGACCGAATGCTGTAAGCATATTGTGAATTCGTAAAACGAACAGCGTCTTAGAGTGACATCATGTCAGTCTGTCTATACTTCCATCAGTCGCTCAAGTCACCTCACCCCAGAACACATTGTACTGGTTTATTACGCTAGCAGACTCGATTACTTAAGCAAGGGCACGTGTTCAAACAAAATATGCTTCTGACAACAGGGAGGCCTACAAATCTACACGAAATACATGTGCTACAACTATCCAGTGTTTACTTGCTTATTCGTTTATTTATGTACATATTTATTTGCTTATTAAATTAGGTCTTCGAATGTTTATTTATTTCGTATTCATTGGATCAATTCATTTGACAGATACAATAATGATTTATCGCTTTTATGTAACTATGAACTGGTAACGCTCAATTCATTCTTTATTAATTCGGCATTGCGTACATGATACTAATTGGATGGGATCTGGAGCCGATGACGACGCGGTGGCGAAGACAGAAATTGTACGCACAGTCCGTAGGGCGTTACTTCATTAACCAGCGACGTCTCGTAACTTATTTATCTGGTGATGAAACTCTACAGAAATTTAAAACATAAAGTTCCACGATGGTTTGCGTTATTAACAAACATCCCCAGTATTTAAATGAATATTACCTGATAACAGAGTTTAACAGGAACAGATAACGTAACATTATACGTAAACCACCAAACGAGTTCAGACTTATGGAATTTTCGAGAGGCAACGAAGCATCGTATGAAGAGCCAGGGTAGCTCAGTCAGTGCAGTGACTGGCTATGGACTGGACAATCGATCCCCGACAGGGCCACACGATTTTTCTTCCAGACTCTGGGTCCCAACCTCCAGCATAGTGTCCAGTGGGTAAAGCGGCCGGGTCGTGACGCTGACTACTCACCCTATCTAGTGCCGAGATTGGGAAGGAGTAGGAGCTATACTACCTCTTCCCCCAAGCGCCTACATGGCGTATAGTGTGACAGCTCTAATTATTCTTATTCTTTTACACGTAACAGCGTGTTGGCCTTTTACTCAAAAAATAAAGGCAAACTTAGAAAGAAGCGATCATTTTGTGATGTGGGTGGTTCACTGTGGCCCCCGCAACACAAGCTCAAACCCGCCACAGAACTGAATACAGTTAATTGTTCTTGAAAACAAGCGCTTTAAGACAGACAGATTGTTGGCATGGTGGTCCAAGTTGAACGAAAAAGTTCATTTCACCTAAGACTTCGGTAACAATTTAATTGCATTATTTAGACGATTTGGCTTTTACTCGCGTATTTTCAGACAGATCACTGTTCTTCTCCAAAGAGAACACAGGGGGATACACGAAAGTGTTAAAACGTAATTCTTGTTGAAATAGTGCTCTGTGAGATTATCTAAACTGTTACAGACAGGTTGTGACCCGCATTTCCGACCTGTCAGGTCCAAGTTATAATTTTTTTTATATCTTCTTCAAGAAAAACATACTTCCGTCCTGTAACATTTTTAACATTTTTTTGTACTTCAGATAAACACAGATCGTACAAAGATTTGTCGTTGGTTAATATCGACCAGACTACACAGCGCAACAACCCAGAAGACAGAAATCTTCATACTCATCGCCCTGATGATGGAGGCAGTATGACCTCAGAAACGTTGGTAAACATCGACCATACTACACAGCGCAACAACCCAGAAGACAGAAATCTTCATACTCACCGCTGTGAAAACCTCAAATCTTAAAACGATCGTACATTTTCACACACGATTCACGAGCAGCCACAAACTATTTGTTGACTTACTCTCAAAATGTCCCCAAACACAAGCATGATATCTCCCTCACGTAATTTATCTCACTGACCAATTCAATATTAATACAGTCGAAACGCCGATTTGGCGCTAGTAACACAACAGGACAACAGTGTTTAGTTATTATTATTCAGTGTTCTGTCTTACGACAGGTCCATTGCTCTGCCCCAAAAGAGCTCTCCAGTTTTCCCTATTCTCAGCTTCTCGTTTTAATTCCTGGAACTTCATCTTCTTTCCTTGTTTCAGATCGTCGGTTAGCTGTGTTTAGTATGGAAGATAAAGGTCAAGTTGTCCCTCGTATTTATTGTGGTATGGAGGTACAGCTCCACTCATTCTTGACCTTGGCATTAGATGCAGGTGGGTACCCATTGGATACAAGCTGGGTAGAGCCCTAGTGTCGGCCTCGAGGCGGTAGCTAAAAAAATTCTCTCTCGTTCTTCTAGGAATCGAACATGGTTGTCTTGGCTGCAACTTAGTCTTTATACAGAAAGAACTAACCGGCTCCATTTCATGGTTGGCGCTTTCCATTAAATCTGAAAGAGTTATAAAACAAAAGAAAATGAAATGGGCGGGGCATATGACATATGTAGGAAGGTGAGCAACGCACGCAGAATTTTAGTCGGAAAAGCCTGAAAGGAAATGGACACATTGAGACACCCAGGCTCAGACGGAAGCATGCTACTAAAATGGATCGTAAAGAGATATAGAGGGGACTTCATTCGTTTGGTTTAATATAGCGACCAGTGGCGGACTCTTGTGAGCCTACTCATATCTCAAACGGATACTGCTTCTAGAAGTTTCCACACATCTCTCGATGGTACATGGTGCGACATCTTTTGGCAAAATCTTGAATCACGCCGTTCCAGCCACATACTTGTTTTAAAAGAAAATGATGAAATTACAGTTTCTTCCATGGCAGTTACAATATTCGTATAAATATTGAAACATCTGTTCAGTAGCAAAAGCAGGAATTTGTTGTTAATTGTTGGAAACGAACAATATTGGTAAATTCGAATTTAAGAAGGTAAATTTTGTCAGCTTTCTTGATCGTTACAATTCGAAACCGAATTCACGTATTATTCTTTGCATCAAATGGCAGTGCAAATTTTTGTTTAAATATGGCTGGTCGTGAAGATGATGAAATCGATTACGATGATAAAGAGAGGAAGGGAGATTTAGCTGTTAAAGTAATTTGCCTCGGAGATAGTGCCGTCGGAAAGTCGAAGTAGGCAGCATGTTTTGAAACAGCACAATATTCATGGTATTAGGTGACGAGTTTCACCCAGCCTCTTCAAACCTTTCTTTGCTACATTAGAAATGCACATTTCTTACTTTTCTTAATACGCAGTATGCCTGCCTGTCTGCCTTCAATGTTTGTTTTACATTAAAATCTTCTGACTAAAATCTTGTAGGCCTTTCGTATGTCTCTTCTGTGTGCTGTATTTTATCTCCTTTGATTTGATTACTGTAACGTTTGGGAAAAGTATATAAGAATATAGAGCTCATTATGTAATTTTCTCGAACAACCTGGTACTGCCCATTTCTGAGTTCTTAATATGCTACCTCAACATGTGTTCTTCCCTCAAAGTTAAAAGAACAAGTTTCATGTCATAGGACTTTCTACAGTAGTGAAATAATTTTTTCGATGTCTGTTCAAAACCGATAGTCCCACAATCTGTTGCAAGAGATCATTATTTACTGATGCTCTTTTAACTGAAAAGGTTATGTAGCAACAGTTAAAACAGGAAGATGATCATGAGCAAACATAAGCATATAGAAGGAGGGAACATGGCATACTTGCAGACACTGTACTGGCATTTGCATAGGCAGAATATAACCTCAATGGCTGGTTGTAGCTCCTTGTGGTCTTGTGAAAGTTTACCAACATTTAAGAGGTCCTTGCCATTAACACAGCCAGACTACACAGTCTACAGCCCAGGAAAGCCATCTTTGTATTCACGAGTGAGAACCTCAAATTCTACTTTGAACATAACCTGATTCTTAATGTTTTCTTTATATTTTTATGTGTTACACTAAAAGGAATCCTATGAATATGAGCATTATAATTTGAAAACTAAAGAAGATAAGTTTCTCAAAAACTGCATTAACCCTTTAAAGCTATATGCACTACCTGCTTGAATAATAAGTAACTCAATTTACCCACAGTGTATACATGGGGCACATACAATTTTCAGGATAAACAGTGGTAATTTACCTAACAGTATCTACTAATTGTAATGATGTCATGTTTCTTTGAAGTAAGAATTGAATTTCCAGTTATTGTTTAAATGAGCTCCAACTTTAGAGGATTTAAAATCTGTTAAACTGCAGTTATTTAGAGAGAGTGCAGTCCTATTTAATACTACAAATTCAACATGTCCCAGACAATGACAGTTTGGTGCCAGTGAGACTTTAATTCTTCTCACATGCAGTGGATATTAAAAAGTTTGTGCAGGTTATCTGATACTCTTTAATCCAGGTTGGTTGAACGGTTTCTTCTCGATGGATACAAGCCACAGCAGCACTCAACATATGCCCTGACTCTGTTTCGCTACCCAACCAAAATTGAAAATGAGTCCATTATTGTAGGTAAGTTAATTTATGGCTATTCAGATTAGATTTTACAATTGGCTTAAATAGCTTCTCCTGATGACAGATGCAGAGCCAGCTTCTGAAATGTGTTTTAAAAAAAGACAAAGGAATGTTCAAGAATATGCATCGGTTTAAGCCAGTAACTGTGGTTTTCATCTTTAGTTTTAGCAGGACAGTGTATAGACTACAGATAATGTTTAGCTCAGAAGTTTAAAAATTCATCCTTGTCGTGTGGAGAATGGTGAGGGTGGTAGAAAAAGTTTACTTTCCTTCATACTATGATACAAGAAATTATTCTTCTTCTATGGCTCTCCGGTCTGTAATCGGTCCATGGCCTCCTCAATTCTCCTCTTCCATTCTGTCCTATCCTCCTGTCCGAGGCTTTGATTGAGGTTTCGAAACGTCTTCCTTTTTACGGTGCAAGGTTGTTAGCCTTGCGACCAACCCCCAACCTGGAGGACCAGGGTACCTGTCTTAGTCTCACCTCTTCCCCTCGACCAATCTGGCTAGGGAGACCCGACCAGTAGCTATGCTACCGCCAGCATAGCTCTTGGGATCACTGAGGTACTCAAGCCCCACCACCACAACAAGGTACAGGTACCATTAAGTGAGGTGGTAGCTATAATCATATTATATTTTTATAATTCTGTAGTTACCTGGTATGACCTCATGGTTTCTTTATACTCCTATATTTTAAAACATTCATTCTTATGCTACCAAAATATCTTAGAATTTACTCCAAGTAATAGCAAGTGAAATTTTTTGGGTTACCCTTAATACTTTTTAGAGTGTGATTTCTTGTATAGCTATTCACTTCCACATAAATGTTTCACTTTATCACACTTCACATCAGTCATCTTTGTACCCTGACACAACCACACGTTTACAAAGGAACGGGAAATTGTTTCACTTGATAATATTGCTTATAAATACATCAAAGCTTCTTTGTAAACTCATGGACTTTTACTCATTTCACCCTTTGATAACTTCTGACAAACTCCTTTATCTACAATCTGATCAACATCCTCTGCCTCTCTTCATTGTGCAAGATGAAATAATCAACATCTGATGCCTTGTTATTGACTGTTAAAACATGTATATATAGTTCCCACTGACAGATGTACAAGTAAGTGATCAGATCAGTCAAATTTACTGAATGTCTGCTTACTTCTTTCAGACTTCTGGGACACTGCAGGCCAAGAAATGTTCCAGTCCATGCACCCGTCATACTATCACCAAGCTCATGCCTGCATCTTGGTATTTGATGCCACCAGGAAAGTGACATATAAGAACCTAGCCACATGGTACCAGGAACTGAGACAGTACCGACCACACATACCAGTATTCTGTGCTGCAAATAAGATTGATGGTAAATATAGTCCTGTTTAACAGTGTTCTGATACTAACTCACTCTATGGTGCAAGAAATTCCTCGAAAAGTTGATTGTATACTCAGTTTGTCAAAGAATACCCCACTTTCTTTATGGGTCCCAAAGGTTCATCACAAAAATGTACCGCCAGACTATCCTGAGCTACCTGCATTCCATCGCATTCTTTCCTATCTCCCTAATACCCATCTTAATGTTATCCTTCCACCTACACCTAGGTCTTCCCAAGTCGTCTACTTCCTGCAGATCTTTTAAACAGCACTCCCCACCCCTATGCATGCTGCATGTCCCATCCACCTCGTCCTCGATTTAATCGCCGTAACATTATCAGATGCGGAGTACAGGCCATGAGGCTCGTCATTATGCAGTTTTGTCTATGATCCGTCTTCCTCCCTCATAGGTCCAAATATCTTCCTCAACACTCTATTCTCAAAGACTCTCAATCTGTGTTCTTCCCTTAAAATGAGAGACCAAGTTTCGCACCCATATAGCACAACTGGAAAAATTACACATTTGTATATTATAATGTTTAGTTTTTTTATATGAGACTGGAGGACAAAAGATTTTGGACTGAATGATAGAAAACATTCCCCGAATTTAATCGGCTCTTGATTTTGTCGTGAATGTCATGACTTGTTATCGTCATCCCCAAGTACTTGAATTTTGTCATATTTTCACGATTCATCATTCATCATTATATTCCAGTTCTGTCCTGAATTCTGATGCCAAGGCATGATCGTGTACTTTGTCTTTTCTGCATTTATTTCTATACCGACATCCCCACTAACCCTGAAGAGTATTCTCTGTACTTCTTTTATTCTCGACTCATAATTAAATGAAGGTACTGAATAAAATTATTGTTTTGGTTTAAATTTCAGCCAACATGGATGTTACACAGAAGGCATTCGCATTTCCTCAGAAGCACAACATTCCTCTTTATTATGTATCAGCATCAGATGGAACGAATGTAGTCAAGGTATTGTTTTTAATTGTGTGCGTTCTAACTGCCTGTACACCTGCATAATAGCGTTAGCACGTTTCTTAATATTTCATATAGACGAGTACTTACAACATGAGCTGTGAATTATGTGCATCTTCTCAAATATTGTACTAAAGTCTAATTTTCTGTTATTATAGCTTTTTCGAGACGCGATACAGTCGGCAGTGAAGTACAAGAAAAATCCATCAGACGTTACAGATCAAATCATTGAAGAATTAGAGAGAATATGAGATTGTTCACATTATTCTTGAATTATTTATACCGATAATCTATATTTATTCAAATACATACTAATACATGCACTGCTATTCATCTGTTCCAGGATTTTATTCCTTCTGCCAGCATTATTTTTTATTAATTATTTCTGTCAGAAGGTTGTTATGTATTTAAAATTAAGAAATTAATAGTACTAAAGATCTTTAAATTTAAAATATAAACATTCACTATACTGCAAGACAGGATTGGCTTACAACTTTCTTTTAATCTTCTTCTACGGCGCGACAGCCCGAAGTCAAGCCTCGACCTCCTTTAAATGACGCCTCCAGACTCGCCCGTCTTCAGATTCTCTTTTCCAGTTTCACACTTTCAGGATCTCCCTGCTGTCTTTTTCCACTGCATTAATCCATCTTTTCCTTGGTTTACCTACTGGACTCTTTTCAATAAAATTTAATATTTGTTTCTTTTAATACCTCTATACCAAAATTACTGCTTATTTTCAAAACTTGTTAAAATATTATACAGTTTGCTACATAGTCAGCTGATAGGTACTTGGTTCTTTGCGGCACATTTTTTGACGAGAGAAACATAAGGTGTCTTCTCGCCGTTATTCAAACAGCTACTGAGAAACTCATGTAGAATGTTGCAAATTGTTCAAAAAATCTCGGAAAAATTTAATTTTTTGTAAAATTAAAACTTAAAAAAAAATCAAAAATTTTCATTTTCTTTGCTTTATAGGACATTTATGATCTTTTTTAAATTGTTCGCAAGTTTTCAATATTTTGAATTTTTAGAATCATTCTAGCACAGACAGGGTTCTGTAAGAATCGGTGCCGGCAGAGAAAAGGTACGGCAAAGAACGGGTCCGGGAAAGACAGGGTGTTAAGAAATTTTGAAAACTTCAAAATTTTCGAAAAAGAGCAAAAATGTTGCAAATTCTTTAAAAAGCGCTAAGAAATTAATTTTTTTTTTAAAAATGGCAATTTCAACATTTTTTAAAAAAATTACAATGTTTTATTTTTATGAATTCAGTCCACATTCTCATATGCAATTTAATATCATCCTCCCGCTCGTCAGGATATGTTAAATGTAAATAGCGAAATAAACTGTTAAAATTCAAACACAACAAAATATATGCGCATGAGAATACTGTTAACTTCAAAATTATCGTTCCTGCCTGCACGATTATTTTCAATGTCACATAAAATCGTTTAAATCCTATTAACAACAAATTCTTCCACTTCTTTGGGGCTGGATCCTCGTGAATCAAAACAGCCAAACACATCTACTCACAAAAGGAACGCACTTTCACCCCCAAAAGCCCAGTGGTAATTATATGTACCGCGTGCTTCGACAATCTTTACCTCTACATTGTATATTTATGCATTTCATGCGATTTTCGGTATTGGCAGTGATTATTTCCTTAAACTGCGTTAACCAGTCGATCTTTGCAATGGTGAAGTGCTGTGTTTTCTTTGCGGTACGGGCTGAATTCCTAAATACGAGCTTCGGCTTCAAACAGTTTGTAGAGTAATACTTACGTTGTGGTTTTTTCCATAAACACCTACTAATTGATTCAACATTATAAAATCTCGAAGAAATATACTGTTACAAAATAATATCGTTTCATAATGTTATCTCAAGAAACACATTTCCTACAGCAAATACTTGGGACATATTTGGACAGACGCCAAATGCTGCACCCACTTCTGCGTTGGTTAACTGGAATGTCCTCCGGCCTCTTATACGATTTTCAGGTGGACGCAAGAACAGTGCTGTTTGCCAACCATAACCACCGGAAATTTTTAACTATCTGATATGTTGAAGAACACATTTTAGAAGTATATTTTCCGCAGATACCGTCTTGTGAGAGCCCCTGATTTTAGCGGTCTAATTAAAATGTCCCAGACAGGTCTGAGGTTCTCAAAGCGATGAATCTGTTCCAAGTTACTCTACGTGTTGTTAATCCGTGTGGACTAAAAGTCAGATACCATGACAACGCTGTTTAAGAAAATAATCGCTGTTTATTCTGATAATCTGGTTATTATATCATGTACGTATAGTTACCAGTGGGCTATGAAGGACGAAGTGATGCTGTGCTATCTGAACACAGTGTGTCTGTACTCGATATGGAGAACCATCGTCATAGCGTTACGTAACCTATTTGGTTACTAGCGCTAGAGAGATGCCCCACCCCACAGGACGTGATTTGCATCTGCTGGAGCTGGTCCATCCAGCCTCACAAAACAGCCGTATCTTTACATCATTTCCATAAATTTCATGCATATCGCTTTTACGAGTACTTTAAGGTCCTCTTAAGTGGTTAGGCTGGAATCTCATTTCTCTCGTGTTTAGTCAAATGCTTTTGTATGAAATGGCTTAAGTAATGCCATCAATAAAAAAGTCACACGTGAACACTGACATTCGGAACAGTGCGCACAAAGACGCTTAAGTGTAAAAGTGACACTCCTCATGTTCGGGAGATCCTGCGTTTGAATCTCGACCCGGGACCGCTTTACGTGACTGAAGTGGCTGGGTTACTGGGTGGACAATTTCCAGCTAAGCAGGGTCTTTTTTTAGGCAACCTCATATCGTGTGGCTACTGTTTTTTCTTCGGCGAAAAAGCGGCCGGAGTCTGAGGCTAACCACTCACCTCCATCTAGTATTGAGGCTGAATATGCTCCTCCACTCCCCAATACGCCTGCATTTCGTGGTGTTTAATTCAACAAATTAGATCTTAACCTTGCAATTACCACAAAAAACAGAATGCCTTAAAACAGAAACTTTCGGTGTCCTTAATTATGAACTTCAGTTATAAATTGGACCCTTCACCTGGAAGGGAAACTGTAACATGCAATTTCTCTCATCAAAATAAATTTTAAGAATCCACGTGATGGATTTTTATGAAATTTAAAATGGAAGATCAACAATAATGTTATATTTGCTTGTTTATTTATTAAAAGTTTATTTAACTGAACTGCAGTAACTCAGAATGCAATGGAGTGGAATGACGAATTGAAAAGGATATGGATGGAAGTGGTCGTTGCCTAATATAAGATTCTATAATGGAATATCCCTTAAGGGACTGAGGAAAATAACGAAAATCACGATGGTCGATCAGCAGACCGATATTTTATCGCGGGACTTCCAGAATATGAAACAAGAGTGATAACGTGGTTATTTTCGACATTGCCCACAGTCTGACGCGACGTTTCGGGAGTTGGTTGTACCCATCATTCACACCAATCAGTCTAATCGTATGAAGTCAGGCCTATACAGTCCGAGCTGTTGATAAAGTCATTAAATAAATCCTGTTTTATTAAACAAATAAAAACAAGTGAGGGACTGGCGTGGGGAGAGGTCTTCTGTCTGTGGACAGTGACCCCATTAAAACTTTCCGCCCACACAACATGAGATGGCAACACTTAATTCCCTGATTCCGGATGTCTGCATGCTTGACGTTCCTTATGTGTGCCCAGTGTCGAATTGAGGCATACAGGCATACTGTCTGAAGCATTGGTTAGAAAACTATGTTCCGCGGACCCAAGCTACCAGCGGTCTCAATGGATTGATAAAATACTACTTCTTCGGCCCTGATGATGGAGAGAACAGGTCTCCGAAACGGTTTTCTTCAACTGAACTTCAACGCGGATGATCAGTCGACAGGATTCAGCCATAAAAGCTTCAAATTTTGTACAAAAATTGTTATTTTCAGAACTAGTTAGTTTTTCTTCAAATAATAAAACGTCTTCTTTCTGTGGTTTTCCTCATAAAACAACAGTCCTGGAAACAATGGTGTTGCGGGAGGAATCCTGATTGGTTTGTAGACGTTTTCTTGGCATCTGTGTTGTCACAGTGCAGGTCTTGTGATGGGCTGGTCCCCAGCAAAGGATTCTCAAAGCAGTAAAAGGAAGAAGAATATGATATTTCAGGTTTTCACAGCGAAGACAATTCAGACTGTGATCATCTGGGCTCTGAAGATGGAAGTGATAAGTTCCTCCGAAACGTTGGTAGTCATCCACAATACTATTCACAGAAAACCAGAACACAATCTGAAGAATTCGAGGTCTCGTTTCAATGTGTCCTCAAGGCCTGGTCTGTGTAAACTCTAACCTAACTTCCAGACCCGAATATTTGTGTATGCAGGAAGGGGAAATGTTCGACAGACATAAGCCAGGAGCCACAGCCGATTATCAGCGGCTGCTGTTACCCAGAAACCCTCAGCATCACTTCCCTCCCATTCACTTATCTAATACACACGTCACGTCCAGATTCAGTGGCGGACTGGAAATATCTATTAAACGCGCGTGTTAATTCGTCGTTTACGAGAAGAAGAATAAAACAAAACTAATTCATAATGGATAGATGTCCGTCTGTAATTAAGTTTCATCTCTAAAATAATGAATAACCATAAATTACCAAAGTCCTCCTTATAGAGCAGGGCACCAGAATGTAATCCGACGGAGCGTTTGCTAAAAATGTGCTGGCATGGGTTTACGAGACTTTAGTGTGATTTTCAATTTTCAAGCAATTTTGACTCAATACGTCACAACAAACGAATATTGAGTTTTGAGTTTAAAATATTCTGGAGTGGTAAGACTGGGTAAAATCACGAAAAACCAACAGCACAGAATACGAGTTGTCCACGACCGAGTTCCAAAATCGGAAATCTCCTGCACACATATCAGAAAACTTGAGCTAACCCGCTCAGTGCTTTAACGGGCAGTTAACACATAGCAGAACATCGTTTCGGAGAAGACACTGCCTCCATCTTCAGGGTTTTAGTTGGTATCTATTTACTCGTCCACACAACCCAGAACACCAACAAGGTAAACGGACAACGAAGGAAACGCGCGCTGCTTCACGAGAGGCGAACAGCTCTAGCCGGCTGAGGGTGCACCCTTCTGTCTGAGCAAGCCCCCCGGAGTGCGGGACTAGGGCGCCGTTGAGACGGGGAGGAGGAGAGCGCGCACCAAAGGCTGGAGTGAGCACTCAGTTGCCTTGCGGAGGACGCTAAGCAAACAGGAGTACTCGCGGCGCGCCTTCGTAAGAAAAGTTTCCGTGTGTTTCTGTGTGGTTGACAGAAATGTTCACAGCTCAAAGGGGTCCCTCGCGTTCATCGGAATACTGTGAGTGAAATTAAAGCATGTGTCGAAGGTAAACTACAATGTCAAGAGTCGCTAGAAGCAGCTCTTTGCCTGAAAGCAGAGCCCAGGGTTTTGTACCATCGTTAAAAAATATCGCACCTGATCGACAGCGTGTTGTTATCACATTAACCTCAACATTTTTACCGCCTTATCAGCACGCTGCATGAATCACGACGTTCTGGTCGATTTTGGTCTCCTGGGTTGTAACGCTGTGTGGACGTGAGAACCTAAGATCCCAAATATCTAGCAGTGTAAAATTCGTTTTACGTCAAACAGTGTCCTCTTACTGGAGGTAAATTTAAAATAGGTGAGTCTTCACGTTCTCAAGGCGGCTAATCTGAAAGATGACTGTCTTTTTAGATCTTAGGGCAGAAATTTACCGACGTTTCGGAGGTTAATATCAGTATGTACCTCTGAAATGTAGACCAATTTCTACCAGACTACGCGACACTGCATCCCACAACATAATAATAATCAATTTTAAATTAGTTTTTGGTATATTCACTTTCCTGATACTATACTTGAGTTAAGCTGATTGTTGCTAACCCTAATGTTACAAATCTCAGCCTTTCAGGTTGAGTCTGACCTTGAAACGTGAAACAAACCGTTTTAAATAACCTATCTACAATAATAAATTCGCTGTAAATTTAATTATGTTCAACAAAGGAAATAAAAAAAGATTCAACACGGCCACTAACATCTGTTAGGTCAGGGGTTCTCACCCTTTTTCGCTGGCGTATCACTAATTCTAATTTAACTAATTAAATGTACCACTGACCAAATGCGTTCAGAGAAAACTGTTATTTATGTAAATATTAACTTTTGATTTTCTGGCTCGCGTACCACCAGTGGTACGCGAACCATAGGTTGAGAAACGCTGTGTTAGGTGATTTGAAAATTTCTGCATAATAACGAGAGTCTGTTATCGTACGAGAGACGAACTTTGAGGGGAATGGATAAAAGAACAGACCAAGGAGCTTTACCTAGCAGTCCTAGAGGGATGGACTAAGCATTATTCTCACGTAGTGAACAACACAATAATATCAATTGGGATCTATGGGAGATAGGAGTTGAAGGCGATTGGATTTTTCTGGCCCATGACAGGGACCGATGGAGGGCTTTGGTTAATTCGGCGATAAACCTTCGGGTTCTATAAGCCAGCTAGTTATTTAGTTAGTTAGTTAGTTAGTTAGCTAGCGTATAACACAATCGTTCGACTTTTCTGTAGCGTAAAATCTGGATTTATCAGCAAATGGCATCCAATTTATATCTACGCCATTATCTCACGTGGTGTAACTGTAACACATTTTAGAATCCTTTGGAGGAATCTTCCGACATATTGGACTAACTTCTTCAGGGCAGTAGTTACAAGAACTGGGGCTTACATTAATACTTGCAGGACGTCTGTCGAAGTTTCTCCGACACATAAAGCTGAGTTGTTGTTAAATCATCTTCAAAATCGCATTTTTAAATGTTTTTCTCGAGGTTCTTCACAATATATAATCTTCATGAAATATTATTAGGATAATCAAAATACAAAAGATGACGTGGGGGCGGGACATGTAGATATTCGCACCAGAGAGATGAGAAATTCACATAAAATTGCAGTCAGTAATACAACGATGCCCTGGTTAGGATTCCAGAGCGAGGAAATGCTAGTTCGATCACTGTGAATGGATACTTCTTTCATTTACTGGTTAACAAAATTCCCATCTTAGAGAAAACAATTAATTGTAAATGTAAAAGAGCTCATTCTAGTTTATAAATTTGCATAGGTGCAACTCCGTTGCCTATTAAGCAATTACTTGTCTACTTCTCGTTAATTATGAGAACTCTATAATAAGTTGGAAATTCTATCTGATGATTCAAATCAAATTAATCAGCTTCTTACTTACGTCAAATTATTGTGTTAGTGGTAATTTAATTAAAGGGAACGATAATTGTGGGTTCATCCGTAACGCCATTTTCATTAACATAATTGATTTGAAGTGCTCGATGAATCATGCAATGGGCTGAGACGTCAGTGATAATTGCAGTGAAATAAAAGAATATTTTTCTTCTCATTTTGTTTCTATACACAGCAAGAAAAATTTAGAATTCATACACAATTAAATTAAAATTAAAACAAATTACTGTTTTCAAAATACTGTGCTGATTAAACTAATCCGTCATTGATTTTCATATGGAAAAAGAACGTCTAACACTGAATAGGCGATGCATGTTATTTATTGATGGTCATCTAAATAAAGTGCAAACATCTGGATGTCTGAATGAGGAAACATTTCTATTTGTGAAAGTGTCGGTTACAGATTTTCTTTCCTAGGAACAACTGTGTGATTGTAAAAAAAATTTAAATGTAATTGTACACGAAACTGATTATCTAGAAACAAAAGACAACTGTGTTTCAAGGAATAACCAAACGGACGCGTGAAACATCGGTATGAATTATTTCCGGAACGATTATGCGATAACCATTGTCGTCAGAGCTAAATATTAGTTCGTAAGCGAAACCCAGTTTGGAAAAAATGTAACAATATCAAAAATGTTGAAATGTTATAATTTTATGTGATTTTAACAATCTATAAGCTTGTGTAAAGACGGAAAATAAAATTATTATATTGAGGAACACAAGCACGATGCAATTAAGATATAAGTTGGAAAAGGAATTAAATGTCAGGCTTCATGTAGCAGGGACTGGAGGCCCCCCTTCCCAAACTCAGAGGGTACCAGATGGGAAATCTTTTCCGTGATGTGAAATGTCCGGGGCGTGAAACTTAATAGCCATCCCCAACCAATTACCAGGTTAAGAACGCGTGGAGCTATACCTCCAGACTCCCTGTACGTCTTCATGGCCCAGGGACAACTTTATATTCATAACATGTGAATGTATCGTCCTTCAGAAATTCATACCTGCTCAACTCCGCAGATTATGGAACCCGAAAGTTCATTGTCGTCTTCACAAAAGCCCGCCAAGGGACCCTATTCTGCCAACATCCTCAAATTCTATTTATTTAAGTTCCAGTTTAATATTATCCTTCAATCTATGCCTCACTCACCGCATTTATGGTCCAAGAAGTTGGTACACCTGCTTCGTATTAGGGAAGTCTGATTAGAAATATAATTTAGACAGACAGTGGACATTGATAATGAATACTGATTGATAAAGTACGAAAGTTTAAATTATAATAATCTCCCTTGTATTCCATCAGATATTTTTAAGTAAATAAATAATATATCTCGCTTGGAGTATCTAATCTTCTACTCACTAAAAATGAGAATGACTGACGTTAAAATTAGTTTTTAGAAAAACACACGGAGTAACATCACTTTTAGATGTTCACTACATCAATTCGTAAAACAACGCATAATAAACATGTCTAGATTTGTAACGACTTATTTCAGCTTCTGATACCGATGGAAACATCTAGTCATTACAAATTCAAACAGCGTTTCTTGTTAACAGCCAACACACCTATTCTCTGACACAATAAATGACGTAATAGCAAGGACGTCCGTAAATGCGAACCAAGGTCAAATATTTTGCATGCTTACTTTGCGTGCATCTACTAAATCTGCGACTTATAAAGACAACAATGTGTGTAAGTACAATTCGTACTAGAGGATAATTACGTAAGTTGGACAGACTGTAAAAGCAAATTGAACATCGCCAGTTTATGACTGACAAAGGAGTGTTCAGGAGGCGATATTTCCTTTCTTAACTTATCCGAATTTTCACTCAGTACCTCTTATTATTACTGTGAAGAAATTCTGGAGATTCGCCAGATATTCCATTTAAAGGGAGAAATTGCTAAGCATTCATCAGTAATTTTACTTACTTCCTTTTAGCTGATACCTCTATTTATACATTGATTTATAAGTTAAGACTGCATTTTGTTGGGACAGGTTAGGTTAGAACAGGTCAGGATACGTTAGTTTCTGTTATGTTAGTTTAAGTCAGGTTCGTTAGGTTAAGTGTGGTTACATTCGATTAGGGAATCTTAGGTTAAAATAGATGTTTAAGCACAAATTTTAAATATTGCAATTTCCAGTGTGGGTAAAAAAAAAATTAAACATTTGAAATTTATAAAAGAAATATGTTTGCAGTTACCCTTCAAAACTAAAGGACGCACGGTGCAGTAAATTCAAAGGGCCCCGCTTAACAGAATACACTACAACGCAAATGAATCTCTATTAAAATTGGTAGACGCATTCCGAGAAAGATGATTTGCTGTAACGGGAATTTTGTGAGCCCAGGTTTGCAGGATGCAACAAACCTTCAGGTACCTTCGTAATTTTCACATTACACCAAGTGATAAATCACTCAGGGTGACCCAGTAGGAAAATACAGGAAGCCTGGAGAAACGAGAAGTACATATAAAATTATGGCAAGGAAACCTGCGGGAAAAGATCAAACGGGTGCCTCGTATTAAAATGGATCTTAAAAAATCTGACTCAAAATTAAGGCAACTCGCCGGCTGTTGTGAACACAGTAATAAACGTTTAAGATCTGAAGATCTCACGACAGTGAAGATGTCGTTGTTTGACTTCTGGCTTGTAACGCAGCGTGGTGCCCCTGAAGATGGAGACAATATATTAATCCGAAACGATGTTAATTAACTGCAAGCCCACTAGGTTTTACAACCCAGAACAACACATGCGTTCCTTTAATCGACTTAAAGTTAACAAATGTAGGGCTACGTGTACTGGTCTCCCCCTCATACACATCTTTATTTTGTGTGCATAGATATTAGTAAATTCTCAATCTTCCTTAGTAACTCCAAGAACGAGCTCGGAATATAACTTAAAACATGCCACGACAGCTTCCTTATACGCCATTCTCAATTTTTAATTCAAATTCATCCGACGTTTCGCAACCGGGGCAGCAGAGAAACTAGAAAAAAAAACAATTCCGTTCAGAAATATTTTCCCGTTCATAGGTAGCTGCGGAGATACGGGAAGCAGCACGAGCAGTACCGGCACCGCCGAAGAGACCGGTCAACTTGCACTCTTCTCATTCATCGTTCCGACGCATCGCGGCAGTGACCATCATTACCTTCGCAAGATTCTTGCAAACAACATATATTTCAGGGATGGCCTGTTGCTCAGCTCCAATGAAAAATGTGGTAAGGTGATTAGATTGTTGTCTGTTTATACCAAAAAGTCACCATTAGTTTTAAATAACTTGTTTCACAGAAATTTCTTCATTAATTGTTTGAAGTCCATGTAACTCCATGTAATACGAACTTCAACAATCAATGACTCTTCATTTCGAATTTTTTATTTGTGGATTTCATACGTGTTGTGGTGCAGGACAATATGGTTTTGACCACCGCAGCCACTTCCCACCACTGTGATGTCTCGTGGCCGATATTTTTGTTCGTGGATACATTCATTTTTACAACAAACAGGGTTCAACACAGCTACTCGTCAGCTCCTCATAACAAGCGAAAAAATCGTTGAAGTTTTACCTACAAATAAAGTCGAATTCGACGACAATATCATTTAATGTCTTTATATTTATCCTTACAACAACCATTAAATTACAGTTAAATTTCTTCACAAATTAACAGCCTTTATTGTACATTCTGTTTTATAAATATAAAGACCTAGAATTAGATATTTTATTGTTGAATGAATACTTCTGTTGTGTAGCATTCGGTGTGTTACGCTGGATTCTTGGTTTATCTTCACGTTGCTTTTTGCACACTGTGTTTACTGTTCACTTGAACGACATGTTTCGAATCAGTGTGGCCATCGTTGGCTTTAGATCCCTGCTTCTGTGCCTTTGAACTAAGGACCTCCTCCCCGATGTCCAAAAACAATGATAAAACTACAGGGTTATTCATACCTCAATCAGCATTTGCCACAACGTTGCCAATGACCATGCACTGCTTCGTTGGCTACTCCGATCACAAGACTTGACGCCATGTGATTTTTTTCTTATGGGGGTACGTTAAGGACCAGGTCTTTGTACCATCTCTGCCACGGGATCTGGCTGAGCTGCGAAGACGACTCATAGCTGCCATCTCACAAATCGATCGTGACATGCTGCAGCGGGTACGGGCGGAAATGGATTATCGGCTTGACGTCTGCCGCGTAACAAGGGAGGACACATAGAGCATTTATGAGGTGTGTAAAATAAACGTAGCGAGTTTATCTTTCTATCGGCAAGTCCTATGTTAACATCCATTGTACCATTCAAGGCTAGCGATTTTTTGTAATGTATTAGGGAATTATGAATAACCCTGTAAATACTGAAACACGTTGGATTTGAAGTGTTCACGACAGTGAGTCTGAAGATGGCTTGCTGCCTTCTGGGCTGTAGCGCTTTGTAGTCTGCTAGAAACTTACCGACATTTCAGAGGTCCTTGCTGCCTCCATCATCAGAGTCAGGAGTAACCCGCGATCGTCTACGATTTTCAAATAAAGAACCAGTCAGTCAGGGTAAAACCTTGGACGGATCAATGGGGGTCCGGATCGAGCAAGGTTGGGGAGTGTCCGACTGGCCAGAATGAGGCACGACCTTCCCCTCTCTCGTTACCTCCCGGGCCACTGCCCGTCCACTACCCTACGCCCCACTGGTCCGGCCAAAGTTTTGCCTTCATTGACTGGTTCTTTGTCTGAAAACCAAAGACGCGCGGTTCTTACTCCTCGCCCTGAAGATGGAGGCACAAGGACCTCTCAAACTTTATTAACGTCTACCACACCACAAGGCGCTACAGTCCAAAAGGTAGCCATCTATGTACTCAACGCTTTGAGCATGTAAAATATAACTTCTTGAGTATCTTCCACAACCGAGTACTCGGGTCTCGTCATTCACCAGTCACACGAACACCTTCAAATTTGCTGAAACTTTCGCACACCTCCAACAGCGGGAATAAAATCTTGCCCTCTACAATTAACTCAGTCCCTCAAGGGACCAAATCCCCCAAATTTTCAAATTATCTATTATGGTGCTTAACAGTTGTTCGCACAATTTTTGTCCTAAAACAACTGACTTTCTTCTGTCCACCCTCCTTAGGCCTTTTCTTGGTCAGTGTCTCTATGATCCTTTGGATATGCGGTTCCGGTTGAACGGTCGGCAGATCCCGACTATGGGACATTCCTCCTACTGTCGGTCTCTTCGTTTGTATCGCTATCATCAATGGATTCTCTTAAGAACGAATAATACGGGGTGTTAGTACTGCTTTCGGCATCATGCGTATTTGGCATCGTCACCTGTTGATCACTTTCTCCTGATACGGTTGCATCCACACCCGCTTGGACTACCAAGTCCTAGCGTAATTTCTTTCCGTTAACAGCTGATTTTCTTGTGTACACCCTCTTTGCGCCTTCACTTGGGCCAGTGACTCTAGAATTCACTCTTCTGGTTGAACGGTGAAGAGTCAGCCGCAGAAATGTCAACCCAATCAGGTGTACTTTCATAGACGTCTTTATCGGTTTCATCGCGTTTGCTTTTGAAAGTCGCATTAGCTGCGCTTGTCTGCCATTCGGCATCACGCGTACTTTCGTGCGCATTTGGCATCGTTACCGAGTGACCCCTATCTCCAGATGTGGACGCAAATTCATTCTATGGGATTACTCGGTAATTACGTACCAGAGGTTGCCGGCCTCGTATGTCAGCCATAGAGATGTCAACCCAATCAGGTGCACTTTCAAAGACGTCTTTATCGGTTTCATCGCGGGTGCTTTTGAAAGTCGCATTAGCTGCGCTCGTCTGCCATTCGGCATCACGCGAACTTTCGTGCGCACGTGGCATCATTACCGAGTGACCCCTATCTCCAGATGTGGACGCAAATTCATTCTGTGGGATTACTCGGTAATTACGTACTCGAGGTCGCCGGCCTCGTATGTCAGCCGCAGAAATGTCAACCCAATCAGGTGCACTTTCATAGACGTCTTTATCGGTTTCATCGCGTTTGCTTTTGAAAGTCGCATTAGCTGCGCTTGTCTGCCATTCGGCATCACGCGAACTTTCGTGCGCATTT